AGCAGGCTGAGCAAGAGTGAGACCTTATCTCTACTAAAAAAAGCTTAGCCAGGTGTTGTGGTGAGCACCTGTTAGTCCCAGCTACTTGGAATACTGAGGCAAGAGGACTGCTTGAGCCCAAGAGTTTGAGGTTGCTGTGAGCTACAGCACTATACTCAGGGTAACAGAGTGTCTCCCCTCCCCCCGTCTGCCTCATTAAAAAAAAAAAAGATAATTCTGTCAAGTTGTGATTACTGTGATGGAAAAGAATTATAGAGGGACAGATGCTTTTTATGACAAATAATTTACAGACTTAAAAATAACAGTAAAAAAGAGAAATAATGAAAAAAGTAGTCTTTTGATTATTTCAATTAAAAAAAAAACTGTTAAGAAAATGAAAAGAAAAAAATAAATGATTAACAAAAAATCCACCCTGGCCACATGACAGGTGGACTGAGCCTGAGGAAAGAAAAAGAATTACAGTGTACTTCATAAATATTAGTGCTGCATATTTTTTTCACTTCTCCACATATTTATGGTTAATAGTAAGAGTTTTTTATGTTTTTTAAAAATTTTAAAGATCACAGAATAATCATAATTTTTCCTACTGATTACTATAATCGCTTTGCATGGCTTCACCTTACAGGGCTTCTCTTCATAGCCCCAACTACTATGCAAATCAAGGACTGCCTGTTCCAGGTCAGGAAATCTCAGCTGAAGCATCTCTGGAAGTGGAAAATTAAGGATAATGTGAGTACGTACCTGTAATTCCTCTGCTGTGGAAACATCTAGCCCTGTTAGATCTTGTATTCTCATATTAATTCGAGACACCACAGGATTTTCATAGCCAGAAAGCCAGGCACTAAGAAAAAAATAATAGTTTTACTGATAATATTTCATTATAGTAAGATTAATAGCTTTTGTTTTAAAAGCCATAAATATATAGGACAATAAACCTTTATCTAAAGGCATTTAGTTGATTTTCTTGTTTGATATGATCTTTATTAAAGAATATTGTAGTTTCTTTTTTTTTTTTGAGACAATCGCACTTTGTCACCCTCAGTAGACTGTCTTGGCATTATAGCTCACAGCAACCTCAGACTCTTGGGTTCAAGTGATCCTCTTGCCTCAGCTTTCCCAGTAGCTGGGACTACAGGCACCTTCCACAAAGCCCAGCTATTTTTTTTTAGAGATGGAGTCTCACTCTTGCTCAAGCTGGTGTCTAACTCCTGAGCTCAAATAATCCATGCGCCTTGGCCTCCCAGAGTGCCAGGATTACAAGCATTCACCACTGCACCCAGCCACCAAATATTGTAGTTTTTAAAAGCTGACACTTTCTATAATTAGATAGAACAGAAAAAAAAAACTGTTATCACTTAGTATAGAGTTTCAATCACTACAGTTGGATTAATATAAGAAGGCTATTTTAAGGCCATTTATATTGAGACTTTCTGAAAATTCGAGGAAAATACACACCAAACTGAAAACAGCTGTTCTCTCCAGATAGGGTAAAGGAACTGACTAGAGTGGAAGTCATAGAGTCTTTAATTTGAAATATGTAATGCTGGCTTGGCGCCTGTGGCTCAAGCGGCTAAGGCGCCAGCCACATACACCTGAGGTGGTGGGTTCGAATCCCCAGCCCGGGCCCGCCAAACAACAATGATGGCTGCAACCCAAAAATGGCCAGGCGTTGTGGCAGGCACCTGTAGTCCCAGCTACTTGGGAGGCTGAGGCAGGAGACTCGCTTGAGCCCAGGAGTTGGAGGTTGCTATGAGTATGATGCCATGGCACTCTACCCAGGGGGATAGCTTGAGGCTCCGTCTCAAAAAAAAAAAAAAAAGAAAGAAATATGTAATGCTAATACTTTATAAGAAAAAACTTCATATTTTTTTAAATAAAAGTTTTTAAAAGATAAACATACCTACTGAGATAGCTATAATTAAAAAGAGGGGGCCAGGCACTATGGCTTACATTTGTAATTCTACCACTCTGGGAAGCCAAGGTAGAAGAACTATTTGAAGTCAGGCATTTGAGACCAGCCTGAGTAAGAGTGAAAGCCCCGCATCTACAAAAAATAGAAAAATTAGCTGGGCATGGTGACATGTGCCTACAGTTTCAGCTACTTGGGAAGCTGAGGCAGGAAAATTTATTGAGTCCAGGAGTTTGAGGTTGCAGTGAGCTATGATGACAACACTACACTCTATCCAGGGTGTCAAAAAGTAAATAAGGACAATAACAAGTGTTGGTGAGGACATTAAGAAACTGGGAGTCCTAGACTGGGTGCAGCGGCTCATACCTGTAATTCTAGCACTCTGGGAGACCAAGGCAGGTTGATCACCAGAATTCAGGAGTTCCAGACCAGCCAGAGCCAGAGCCCCATCTTTAAAAATAGCTGAGCATTGTGGCGGGTACCTGTAGTCCAGCTACTTGGGCAGCTGAGGCAAGAAGATCACTTGAGCCCAAGAGTTTGAGGGTGCTGTGCGCTATGTGATCTATGTGAGCTATGATGCCACAGCAAAAAAAAAAGAAAAGAAACTGGGAGGTCCCCATACATTGCTGGTGGGAACACAAAATGGTATAGCACTTTGGAAAAGTTTGGCAGTTTCTCAAAATGTTAAACATAGTTACCAAATGACCTAGTGATTCCACTTCTAGGTATGTATCTAAGAGAATTAAATCTATGTCCACACAAAAACTTGAACAGAGATGTTCATAGCAGCATTATTCGTAACAGTCCAAAAATGGAAACAACACAAATGTCTATCAATTGATGGATATATAAAGCACGGTATTATTTATAAAATAGCATATTATTGTGTCATGCTACAACATGGATGGAACCTTAAAAACATCAGCTGAAAGAAGACAGATACTAAGGGCCATGTTGTATATTTCATGTGAATAGAATCTTATATTCTAAGGTAAATCAATAGATATAGAAAGTACTGTACTGGCTGCTGGGAATAGGGAATGACTCTTAATGGGTACAGGATTTCTTTTTGGGATAACTAAAAATGTTCTGGAATTAGATATTGGTGATGGTTACACAACAAAAAAAGCATTTACAAAACACTGAAATGTTCACTTTAAAGGCAGGGATTTTATGATATGGGATCTATATTTCAAATTTTAAAAGCACCCCCAAATTCAACTATATATCCTTTTTTACATCTGCTTTTCCTCAGTCTATCAGCCCTTTGTGTTCTTCACTTCTTCTCTCATTAAATTTTGATTCCATGGTTCATCATTTTAACAATATTCTTGCTAAAACCTTTAAATTCAACTTTCTGGTAAAAACACAATCTTTAATGAATCTCTTTGCTTGAGCTTAGATCTATGTCACCAAACCCTACTGGAGAAAGGCACAAAAAAGGGCAGATATGTT